AGAAACCAAATGTAGGATAAAATTGTGTAAAGCAATGGGCACAATGATAAAACTGTTTAAAGCAGTATATGCAAGTCATCCGAAGTTAAAATGTCGGTTATACATCTCTCTTATTTATATTTTTTTTTTCTGAACGGAACATTGAAAGGCGTGTAAAACTGTGCTTTACTGTATTTTCTCTTTTAATATAGTATGCAGTTTTCAAACGCATCATAGTCTGGGTTACAAAGTATTCTTCCGAAAAAAACGCAGTTCAAATAAATAATATCAAATTCTGGAAAATTGATATTAATAAATATTAAAATGCTCAGTTCGAAGGAATAAATAGAAAATTTTAAAAACATTTATCTGAAGAAACAATGCAACAAATAATTAAAATAAAAGTATAAAATTTTAAAATGACCTAAAATAACTATGACGAAAAATATATATAAAGAAAACTATTTGAAAAAAAATAAATGCTGCACCTTTATTTACACAGTTCGAATAGGTAAATTAGAAACTTTTAAAACAGTTATTCGAAAAAAAAAAAAAAAAGTGCAACTTAAACAATTAAAATGAAATTCGAAAAGAAAAAATTACTTAAAATAATAAGTTATAATTAAAAATATAATATAAAGAATATTATTTGGAAAAAAGGAATGATGGTGACTTTTTTTCCTAAGGAAACTAGGTTGTCATATTATTAAGAAGTTCGCCAAGTGAAGTATTCTTGGCGCAAACTGACAAAAAAAGTGCCAACATAAATTTGTGAATTTCTCCGTAAATTTCACTCCAAATTTTACAAAATTTCATATATTAGGCGTAATTTGAGTCGTAAATATGTAAAAAAATTGGTATGTTATTTCAGAAAATGTCCGATTTTGTGTCAAAATACCTATGTTAGAATAGTGCTATATATAAATCTAATATATATCCTAAGTCGCGCTTTCGAGACATGAAGAACGCAATTTGAATTTTGTCAATCGGCCCAGTAGATCGGGAGATATAGGACTGTCCCATTTTTTTTTTTAGCAGTGTACATGGTTTTATTATATTTTAATTAAATGATAGTTATTTTGTGAATTATATGTTTGTAGCAAATTGGTATACATTTCAGTGGAAGTAAACGTGCATGGAAATAATTTAAATATTTGACACTAAGTATTTGTAACCGTTTTTAATGTTTTGTTACAAATTCGTTGGTGATGTTTATAATAGATAATTTAGAGGTAAAAGTTTTTGGATATTTTATTTATATTATACGTGGAAATGTTCATCCTTAGAAAGGGTATATACTTTTTCACGATCAGGTAATTTCATATATGTGCTTTTTACCAAGTTTAAAGATTCACAAAATTTTCCTGCATTTTCGTGCAACTTTTTGTAATTTATGAGAAAATAGTAGTGTAGATGGATAAAGTCAAGAGTGTGCGCAATGCCATTTTTGTGCAAATCTGGGATTTTTTTTAAGTAAAAATAAGTCGACATGGTTACTGTGTATGTGCGATTCTGAAAAACGCGGCAAGGAGTTTGCAATTCTGCACTTTTTCCCAATTTTGCAGTTAATATTTGTCATGATTAAGCAGTTTGTTCCATAAAATTTCTAGCATAAGTGTAATTCGGCTAGCAGATTGTTGGAAAAAGTGTTGAGTAAATAAAAAGAAAAGAAACATGTCTTTACTTCGTGAAGACAAAATGGCGGCGAAAAAAAAACAGAGGGTTGCTGTAGCAGAGTTGGTCGCCAAATTTTCGCCAAAAAATTGCCAAGTTACCATAATCCAAAGATTAATCAAATACTGTTGCTGTTTTTCCTAATTTTAAATTTTACAATGCCATGTTTAAAATTTGAAATGAAGTTAGTAGCAGTTAAAACATTGTTTACTGATAATGATGCTACTATAGATTAGAATAATTGCATATAGAGAGTTTTGCAAAATGTGACAAGCCATATAAAAAATGGACCAAACAGATCTCCAGCTTCATTATGTATCTATAAAATTTATTAAAATTCATACCATTCCATTACTAGGCAAATCTCAATTCCCCATTTTTTTTTTTTTTTCCTTCTCTTCTCCAATACAGAAAATAAGCACAAATAAATCAAAATTAAGTTAGCAATCCTGGCACCATGAACAGACAATAATAATTTACTATGGCAAACTAAAATTTGATATGAGGAGGGTATCCTGAAAAAATCCTCAACAAACTGGAATCAAAGTAATGAGATGACAGAGCGACTATTGCAATAAATGTGTTAAATTTTAAGCAAGTATTTTTAGAATTTAATTATTTACATGAACAAAAGATACTTCTTGGTGAATATACTTCCTTGTTACTTATTGCTTTGTTCATTCTTAATTTTGTTAAAATACCAAATGAAAAAATATTTTTAATTAATTCTTTACAGTTCAAATTATTCCATTTAAGTTCATTAATAAATTTTAACAAATAAGAGTATAAAATTATAAAACAGCATTATTTCTAATTACTAAACAATGTTAAAAATGAAATTCAGATGCATGAACTACACCAGCATAAGCTCAGTACGAGCTTTTGAGAATGGCCTCTGTCTACCTTATTAAATGGGACTTGAAATCTGTGAAAGGTGCAATAAAACTGGGTTGCTCAAACATATGTGCTTAATTAAGACACAATAACACGCCGAATAAATACTAATTCAGAAGTCAAACAACAAAAATCAGCGTTATATTTACAAAATTTTCACAGTAAATTTTCACAGTTTTGTAAATATAACGCTGATTTTTGTTGTTTGACTTCTGAATTAATATGTACTTAATTTTTAATACTTGACATTTATGTTACTTTTCTAATCAAAATTTTTTATTAAAAATGAAGATAAGTTGAATATTAGGATAATTTCAATTCTACTGCATTTTATTACAAAAATTCAAAATTCTTATATTTTAGCAATAAAATAAATAAATAAATTATAATATTTTAAATCTATACATATTATCTGTAGAAGCTAGCAGCCTAATTTTATTAAAAATCCTTTACTACATTTTTACGATTGGAACTACCAGCCTTTGGCTGTTTTATCCATCAAAGTTAATTTCTTTCATAAATTGTATGCAGTTTTTTAAAATAAGGTTACTTTTATTTTCATGAGATCTAATAGTTTTTCACAAGAGTGAAATACTGCTAACACAAGAATGTTAAAAAGTCTGAAATAACTATCACTTGTTAATGTAAAAAACTTCCCTTAAACAATTATTAATACACAGGATGCTCAGAAAGATATTCTTTTTACTTCATTAAAAATAAATCTTATGCATGCAGTTCGGACTACAACTTTTAGTACTACAACTCTTATGCATGCAGTTCGGACTATAACAAAGTTTTATGCTAATGTGTAAACATGATTCCTTCACTACTTATAATATTCCCCAATATGCATGCCTTATGCAGTTAATCTGCTTTTGTATCCAAGTAGCTACCTGGTTTAACAGAGACTACCTGAAAATATCTATTGCACATATATCTACAAATTTAAGTTAATGGCAGTACAATGAGGAAATATACAGACAAACTGACACTGGACTGAATTTCATTCAAATGAACTAACAAATATATAATACAGTCAAAAGTCGTTAATTCGAACACCCATAATCCGGAATGATCTATAATCCGGACCTCAAAGCTAAAAACTTTCTGCGCATGCACCGCGTTAACACATGCGCATAGGCGTTTACGCATGCACGTAAGACCTTTTACCACTGCGCATATGCGTTTGCGCAAGCACAGAATACGTTTTCGCGTGCGCGTTTTATGTATAACGGACGGTATAATCTAAAATTATCTATTTCAGTTAATGTTGATGATTGCGTTGTTCCTTAATCTTCGAATTGGATCCGGTTTATTATTTTTTGCAGACTGCAAGAGCAATTTTATAAAAGTAAACTTGAACTTTCGATTATGTCAAAAAGAATTTCCGATTCTGGAGCTCCCAAAGGATCGTACAAAACGAAAGTATGTTTCGATGCCCATCAAATAAAAAGTGGAATTGCTGCAAAAAATGGATAAAGACATGAAGAATGTGACAGAGAGGTTAGTGAAAACGAAAAAATTTCGATTGACAAGTTAGTCGGTATTCTCGGCACAACAATTAACGGGACTTGAACAGAGGAACTTTGTAACTGAACAAGAAATTGTGTCTGTTTATAGAATTAAAGAGAAAGTATTATCACATAAAACGAATCAACTTAAAACAACTTACATTGAAAGAAATGTTTAATAAAGTAAACAAATAAATATTAAGCTTTTTTTTTGTAAATTTTGATACCCTTTAGATTATAATTGTTCTTTATTTCATAAATTACGGTTTCGTATTTTTAATTTTAGAATTTCTGCATGCCATCTTACAAGATTTAAACTGATGATCTATAATCCGGAAAAATCGATAATCCGGAATCGCCGAAGTCCCGACGAGTCCGGATTAACGACTTTTGACTGTATAACAAATAAAATGGATAAAACATGATCAGATCTTAATGTTTGTTGATGATTTTATCAAGAAGGGATAATAAATGTTTGAAAAGTCGGCCTTTCTTCATGAAATCAGCAATAATTAAAATATTTTTGGATTTTTAGTTTTAAAGTTTTTTCCACTTGATTAAACGACATTAAAATTTACAATTACAAAAGATTTTATTCTTCATTTTCCAAGAGGATAATATCTATTAATAATTTAATTAATCTTAGCTGCATTAGCATTAGGTTTTAACATTGAAGGTCCACTTTTACCCTTTTTGAAGTGTTAGTTAAAATATATATATATATGTTTAAATTAAGCAGTTCAACAGCAAGTTACCCCAGTTTTTTTTTTTTTTTTTTTTTTTTTTTTTTTTTTTTTTAACATTTACATCTAAGAAAAGACAAGGACTTGCATTGTTCTTGGAAAAATTATACTTTGATCTGATTACTTTATGCCCCCTCCAGGCATAAGTTAATCACAGAACATTCATATCCAAAAGGGGTAAAAAATTCAAAATACCTACCTAAAAAATGGACTGCGATCACGACACAGGCTGAGGAATTGTTCATCTCTATACATATATCGTAAGTCATTTTTGCAGCCCACCAGAACAATTGGAGTGCTAGGACAAAACCTTCGAATTTCAGGATACCATATCACTTTACAATTCCGTAATGACATTGGATTTGCAATTGAAAAGCAAAGAAGCACCACATCTGACCTGCAGTAAATAAAAATATGAAATCCTGAAAAAATATTCAGTATTAAACAAAAATAATATATGCACATAAACTAATTACTAGATGCACTAAATATACAACTAGAACATTACTGTCTACCCTTACCCCAGAAAAAAAAAAAAAAAAAAAAAAAAAAAAAAAAAAAAGCTTCTAAAACGGGAAAGGGACAGCTAAAGAATTTAATGCCGTTAACAATATGAAATGATACTTTAAAAATAACAAATGCAAATTGATTAAAAAATTAAGCCACACCTAAAAGAAACTATTACAGAAAATTATTAAGGCAGTTTCTTGACAAATATCTGTCTATTCTTTCAACATAAGCAAATTTAGTGGTATATTATCACACAAAAAAATGCAGTGAAGTAATGAAAAAGTCTGCTGCTACATAGAATACATCCTGAAAATTCTGCTCAATTACAAAAAATGGCATACCTTATTTATATTATTAATAAATATTTGCAAAAAAAAAAAAAAAAAAAAAAAAAAAACTTTTTTTCAGCGTTTTTTTCGATTAGTATCAATATTGCGAAATAGAGGGCACCACAACTCCATTTAGACTGATGATCACCTTTCATTTTGGGGACACATTTAATTTTTCTGCATTAAAACAGTTCATTTTTTACCTCGGGAAACAGAATAACATTTACAGATTCACCATGACAAAATTCATTCATCAAAATGTTATTTTTACAGCACAAAATGTGCATATACATCGATTATATTCAAATATTTTGCAAACCTAAAGGTTTCGGTAAGGTCATTGCTTTTTTTTCGCCAAGTAAGAAACTTGGCAAATTTTTTCACATCTGTGTTGCCTGCACAGTTGAACAGATTTTGGATGTAGATACCCCTGCCTCAAGCAATTAAGGTCAAAACATTGAATGCTTTCAACAGCCATCTGTAGAGTCTGGAAACCATAACAAATCAATGCATTCAATCAAAAACTTCTCAAGAGCAATGTTTGGCTCTCCACTAAATATAATTGAAATCACAAATTATTCAACTAATACTATTAATAAATATTTGCGAGAATGTGAAAAGACCTGTCAATATTTTTCAGACAGCATTAGGGATATCTTTGAAAACTGCCTCGGTTAACAATTTTGAACCATTCTACGCAAAATCTTGATTGCTGAACTGGTATTTACTTTGGGGTAATTTATAGAATTTAATCATAGAAAAGAATGTGTTCAAATTATACTTATATTTCCTGAATAATCTCCTTATATATTAGGTCAACATTTCATTGAATATGTTGAAATTAAGCGTAACAAAAAAAGGATTTAAAACAGTCTTTAAATATTAGGGATAATGTAATGATTTATATAAAGATTCGTTAAAGTAAATTTTGCCTCTTCAATAATTCTTACTATGATGTTTCTTGTTGAATATTTCAATATTATTTTCGCAGGAAGGATGGCATAATTGAAAATTAAGGAACATCTCGTAAGATAAATTGTAAAATTAGGTAATATTTTGCAGCCAAGCATTTTCACCTAGGCTTTCTTTTAAAGAACCCATCAGATAATGACCCATTCAGTTATATTTACTTTCAAACAGTCAAGCTTCGCCACTGTTAACAGAACTATTACAAGAGATCAAGATCTTGATTTAAGCTGATAATATAATTTAACTTGTTATATGGCACACAGATTTTTTTATTATTATTTGGTATCTGTTATCATCGTTGGATTGGTTATTTAACCCTTAGGGTATGGATTTATTTGAAAAATTTCGTCTGTTGACTTTTCACAAACAACATTCACTGAAGTACTAGAAGAAATTCGCTCTTATAACTGATACCAATCACTTTTGCCACGAACAAAAATGCGCATGTTTAATTTTGTCCTAGTTTGAATGAGAATTAAGATTTATTATCCATAACTTACACAAAACAAGTGCATGAGAAGTCTAAGTCGTCAAATGTTCTCAAAAAGGGTTAATTATGGCAAAACATACAAGGGCTATCTGCATAAATGCCTTTGTTGAGGGCTTTCTAAATGAAACTAGTTTGTTACTTCTACCATGCTATACATGAGGAAAATTGCTTTTGATTGGATTATTTTGGTTACGGGAAAGCCTATGAAAGCTTTTGCCATTTTCTTTGTATTTTTCTTATACAGTTAATTAAGGCTTTTAATTATGTATGAAAATTTCATCTTCATTTCTTTAATTCATGTGATGTTAGAAACAGTAGTGCAGCTAGAGGGGGCTGGTCCACCACAGACAACATAATTTGGAAGTGCCATTTTCATGTAAAATAATATTTGATGGAGGTTAGTTCTGGGGATCGTTCAGTCAAATAAAGAACAATACAATTCCGAATTACCATGTGGAATTAATAGAGATATACATACATTTACATTTTTCTGTAGATCAGGTATCCAAAGAAATCAGCGAGAGATTTTAACAGCTATGCACTCTTATACCATTTTTATGCTTTCAAAACTTTAAAATTGCAAATATCAACTAAATTGTGATCTCGGTGCATTAAACCTTCAGGGGTCGCAACATTAAGCAATTCTTTCTTTCCAAACACGTGCGATATTGGTCAGACGTAAATTTGTAATACAAGCTGCGTTCGCTTGCGCCCACTGAGAAGCGTAACTGGAATATGAGCTGAGCCGTCACCATCAAGATAAATAAGGCTTGCACTCTGAATCGAAACTAGCTTGTGACATCATGGTTAAGGAACCCACAGCAGTAACTTACACGATGACACTCCCTGAAACTTTCTCCACATTCTTTGTCCACCCCACATATCAGTAGCTCCCTGTCTCTTAATGCTGTTAGACATACTTCACACGCTTTTGGTAAATCCACAGATTTCATTAGTTTTATTAATATGCTTTTTCATGTTAACTGCTTAGTGATAGATTTTTGTTTCTCCATATTTTCATGAGAAATATTGCTATCATCACTATGACTTCCCATTCTTTGTTCCTGGATGTAAAGGAAATTATGATAAAGAAATTCAACTAAGAAATGAAAATATGAACCCATGAACTAATTTGTCTGATGATGAAAATGTGAAGTTCTTAAGTAAATTTTTTAATTGGCTGGATATTTGGAAAAGATTGGGATGAACTACAGGGAATTTTGCAAAAGAAACTCATCATACTCACACAACTTGTGCTTTGTTAGAAATGAAGCAATATTGTATCGAAGAACTTAAAATGAAATATGTTCTCTGAAAAAATACAAACTGATTCCTTAGAAGAGAGATTCGGAAAGTACAGATTTTTAGCCGGATTGCAATATCATGCCTTAGTGAGGCAAATATTTTAATGCAAGTCCAAACTCAGATTACAAAACACTTTTTCATTTATAGCTGCAACTTTTGGTCAAATTACTATTGATGAGTTTAATGCTATGTCTTCATGTGAAAAAGAAGATGAAATAATTAGTGACCTAAATATTTATGTAACTAATGAGGATATTTTAGGCATCCAAAGTGTAATGCCAGTCTTTAAATATCTTGCAGGATATTTTGTTTATGTCATGTGGAAAAAACAAAAGTGTTCATCATGTATGTCCCAGTTTTCAATTGATAAAGAACTGATATGCGAAGATGCATATTGCTTAATTTCAAGTATGGGTACAGGATGTTTAAAGTATCCTCACCCAGACATTGTTAACATTATTTTGAACTTCTTTCTGAGCAAAATCAATGAAATTTTGTGGCGACTCTTGCATTTTCTATTATAAATAGGCTAAAATTATTTAATTCAATTGATATAAGTAAGTTAGGTCATGCTGCCAAATATTGTGTCAAACAAATTTTGTGGGTGTCCGTAAACATTTTACTGAAGAATTACTTTTGTAACAAAAAAATAATAATAATAACTATAGAAAACCCTGTATAAAAAGAAGACTACAAACACTACAGAAAGCAAACAGTTAAAATAAGGTATTTATATTTTGAAAAATATTCTATTGGATTTTAACAATATCAGATATTTGATTGCATATTAATTTGTAAACTTTTTTTTTGGTTTCATAATTTGTATTTTTTTATTCATTATGATTTAAGGGATATATTTATGTTTACTTTTGACATCTGAAGCATTACACTGAATTTTTTTTTTTTTTTTCTGATGACTGATTTTCTGATAAAACTGATGACTTTTTTTGGTCATACTGCACAACATTCATAGAGTATATGGCTGAAAAACTCATAAAAACAGCACAAGGACCACTCCTGCACTTTTTTCCCCCAAAATTGTAAGTAATTTAAATTTAACGAAATTAAAAATTGTATGTGCTATTAAATTAATTAATAGAATTTTTTTCCTTCATGTATTAAATTATATTTATTTATTATATTATTATATTTATTATAAAATTATCTGTATTTATTTTCATATTTAAAAATAGTATTTTAATGTCATCATCTAAGTTATACTTAACTAACAAAATGCAACAGATCACATACTACATCAAATTTGTTTGTTTTATGCAGCTTCACATCTTGTATTGATTTACAGATTAGCAAAATGTGTTTTTCAGAAACTTGAAATGTATTTTTCATCAAACTTTTAAGTCAATTTCAATTTTAATTAAACTCACTACTAGTTTAATCAATAGTGATTTTCAACTGTAAAAAGTATACTCGCACAAATTATTTACATAATTAAAAAACTTCTATTCCCCTGTCAAAAAAAGAGTCTGAACTTAGTCACCAAAAGTGAAATGTTTGAATAAGCAATCTGTTACATACAAATTTCAGATATTTCTTAACGATTATGCAGTAATCTGTCATTTTAACAAATACTACTAATATATATACATATATGTCATATTTTGGCAGTCGGGCACATGAATGAAGCAAGGCATTAAATGATGACACAGAAGAAGTTAGCTGTTTTGATTTCACATTCTTTATTCAATTCAAATAGCAAATCATTATTCTTTTGGATTCTCCAAGATTACATATGTGATAGTAATTTAGACTAAATAGGATTAACTTTAAATTGTCTGCATAATACTATTCAAACAAAGAAATACAAACGGGAAGAGCGGCAGCAAGGGTCATATAGGGGCAGGAGGAGAAAAGCAATCTGATGAAAAATGGCATGAACTCTACAACTATATTAGCAATTACATAATGTTTCAAGAATGTTCTCGAAAGTACTGGTCTAGGGGGAAGATCCTGAAATTGCGGAAAGTTAATTAGAGGTTGCCTCTTCGCGTAGAGCAAAGCCATTGTATTTTTTATATTTTACACACGCATATATATATATATATATTACAGCAATATATGTCTAGAAAATGCTAATTTAAAATATTAATTTAAATACTGACTAAATTTTTTTTCTTATAATAATTCATGGTTTTAATTAAATTTTTGTTCCTTGGAGATGGTATATAATAAGTTCTCTAATTATAAATTATTGTTTTGTATACATATATATATATATATACATATTATATGATTAATAATTTTCACATCTATTTAGAAGAAATGGACAAAAAGTTTACAAGTAAAATATTTTTAAAAAGGCATCTTTTTAAATTTCTACATATTTAGTTATTACATTACTTTTCATAAAACTTTATGAATTACATTTCAGATAAAACTTAAATTTTATTAAAAATTACCGTAACACAGATTCAAATCACAGAAAACAAAACTGATATTCAAAACATTTACCTTCCATATGCAAATCTCCTGTCTTTATCATGATCTCCAAATGTGTCCCATAATCTAAGTGACACATTTACTCCATCAACAACTTCACATGAACGTTCAAGTACCTATTAAAAAACACAACATAATATTACTACAAATTTAATAATGAACATTACAAAATGTTGGGCAAAAAATTAAACCAAAGGAATTAAAATTTATAAAACAATTACCACACAGCTCTAAAAATACATGATAAAATATAAAGGGAAATTTTATTAATAACAGAAAAGCAAAACATCACATTCTGTTCAATTGTATAAAGCTATCATACAATAAATAACGGACTTCAATAATCTCCCCCCAAATAATTTCGCAAAATACTAACAACAGTTAAAAGGGGAAAAAAAAAATCCATTTTTGAAACAAGTTTTATTACCAGTATATTCAGAAATAATATTGTACAAAACGAGTTTTTACAAATATTGTCAAATCCAAACAATTCATGACAGTCATTGATTAAAAACTGAAGGCATATTGTCACCGATCAGTAACTTAAAAGTAACAGTCGTGAGCATTTTTCATAATCTCATAACATTTAATTTTGGTCATGACAACCCAAAATATAATACCTGAGGGTCTCATGCTTCTTTTAACAAAGTATATACTTCTAAACGAGTCTTCCACATTGGATTTTCATGTGTTTTTACCCTGCACTGCCATTGCAAATACAAGCATCTATATTGTTACACATTTTGTAAATAGTAGACAGAAGATTTAGTGCAATAATGAAAAGCGCAATTACGCAAAATTGTAAGTATTTTTTCTGTGTGTATTCTTTTTCTGTAATGTAACATGAAATATTTTGAGAATACAGAGCAAGTCCATTTAACACTGAGTTAATGGGTTTCTTGATAATTTGCTGGCAATGGTTTGGACAGCTAATTTTTGTTGCCAAATTTCACCAAACCACTGGCCACTATTTGGTGACATTTTAGTGCGGTCAACACCATCTTAGACAACCAGCAGTGTACCATATACATGCATGGGGGCAAAGTGACTTTAAAAAAATCGCTATGTACTGAAACGCCTATGTCATTGTGTTAATATTGCACGTAATATAAGACAAGCTGGTGTAATTTTCAGCTGCCATTCTAGTCACCAGCACAACCCCCCGTATGTTCTGTACTTTTAGTTAATTCATTTTATTTTAAGTTAGATTTTTTTGTTTATACTTATTTCCTTGAATTATGTATTTTGCCTTATTTTATGTATTATTTTTACTGTTTTATCAGTCACTCTGTTAATTGCTCATATTCATAATTAATGCACCATTCAACTGATTATAACTGTCAAACCTGTATTTGACTATCCATAGCACTCATTTATTGTTCATGTTGTGGGAGCCTATTGACAACACTTACTATAACTCTGTAAATGTGAAAGTGAAATTGATTCTTGTTGTTGCAAGTTGTTAGTTCAGCGTGAGTTCGGAGTACCAAGGTAGCTCCAGGTTAACTTTCTCTTTAGATTCGCCGTGCACTGTGTTGTGTTAGACGTTCTCAGTAGTTTTAAGTGTAATTACTGATTATACTCTGCTATACTGTGCGAGTATTTCTGTGGAAAATTCCAGAACTCTGAAATGTTTCTTTTGATAGAATAAATTTTACGCATCTATATTCGGACCTGTGTGCATTCAATCTATTGCAAACCCATATGCTCGTAACACTTTTTGCTGTCAGAAGTGGGACTGAATGAGAGTGACAAAAGCGATGGATGAGAAATTAAGACTGCTCATGGCAGCCTTTGCGGCATTCAATGAAGAGATGAGAGGATGTCAAGAAAAGATGGAAGAAGCCATCAACTCCATTACAGAAGGGACGAAAGCTGGACAAAAGAAAATGAAAGAGAAATTACTGCCATAATGGAAAAAAAATTCGAGGCTATGAAAGGCAGAATAGACAAAGTTGAAAGCAGAGTTGGAGAAACTGAAGAAAGTTTCTGCTGTCCAAGGACATATGGAACAACAAATTGAAGACAGGGTTTCTGCTGCTACTGTCGTCAAAGAAGTTGGCACCTTAAAGAAACGCATAGAGACAGCAGAAAGCAATTCTGATGACTTTAAATGTTTACCCGTGCCTTCTCGTTCCTCTCTGAAGCTATCCACATATGATGAGAAGACCTCCTGGCAAGTGCAGATGACACATTTTTCTATAGTGGCGGATGCGAATGGAAGGAATTCCCAAGCTAAGTCCTGTCAACTCGGCGCCTCTCTGACAGCAGACACAGCGAATAACCTTCAAACTTTTCCTGAAAACCAGAGACTAGACTTCAAAGCTGTATCCAGTTTCGTATTTAAAATATTATAGCAGGCTTCAATTGACCTGTCAACTGAAGCCCATGGAAACACTAAATAGAATTACCACGGATGTTGAAAGTCTGTCCCATCTTGCCTTTTCAGAATGCCTGACAGAAGCAAGGCATATCCTGCAGTACTTCATTGTTGGCATCCAGAATCCTGAAGAAATACAGAAAGCTCTGCGAATGGCGGATGTCAAGGACTTAAGCGCTCTAGTGTATGCCATGAAATTTTAGGCAGCCCAGTAAGCTACTAATAGGGACCGCTACCCAATCAGAGGTGCTCATGTCTAGGAGTAAGTGCATCAAATAGTTGCTCATCTAGACAATTTAAGCAGACAAGGTCAACGCCTTGAGACGGAAAAGGAGAAATAACAAACTTACCATAAAGTGCTGAAGCTACAGCCATGTACAAAGGTACTGCAGAACGCCCAACGGTAAATGGACACAGGAAAAAAGACTGCTCCCTAGTAAGGACGCAAGAAACAAATTAGTGGACATCTTGTGGAGCAGAGATTAAAGATATTGAGAAGCCCCATTTTAAAGCACTTCAGATTTCGGCACTGAATGCCGGCAGTAATGGACTTTTCATCATGCGATACGTCAATGGAGTTCCTTGCAATATAACCATCGATACAAGAACCGATGTTACCATCATTCGAAAAGATCTGGCTCAACAACTGGAAGGTAAACTCATCTGGACACTGTCCTGCGTTACCCTCTAAACAGTGTCCAAAAGAATGACATCGACTGAAAATTAAACATTAACATCCTGTTTGGAAATGTCGCTTACCATCACACGGAATATGAGGCAGATATTACAAATCCTTGCACAATCGGATTGGATTTCCAAAGGAAATTCAATCTTTCCTTGGACTTTAAAAATAATGAACTGCATTCTGCCTCTTAGGACATAACCCGATTCAGAATTAATGATGCAGAAGTTAAACCCATGCACCAAATCATAGCTCAAGACGCTACCAATGTACCAGCTAGAACAGAATTTTAATTACCAGGATTCATAGCTGGAAACAGAAATTTCCAGTATGGTATAATGGAATATCCCAAAACTTAACATCCCATGATGAGTACTAGTAGCCTCTGCACTTGTAGACGTATACAGGATTGTTATCCCGGTGAGAGTTGCCAATGTAACTGATAAGGTGAAAGCTATTAGGAAAGGTGAAGTAGTTGCAGCATGTACTCCAGTGACCAGTATTAAACGAAAGAGTAACACTTCAGAATCCGTGTCTTTTGAAAGCTTTACATCAGATTAACTGCAGAATGTGCAATTAAACGGCGAAGAGAGGAATGCTGCTGAACGTGTCTTTCAAGAATTTGAAGATGTTTTCTCCCACTTGTTTTCTCACATAGGTTGAACCAATTTAACATAACATAGTATAGAATCGATACAAGGAATCATCCACCAATCAAGCAATATCCAAGACGTCTACCAACTGCTAAACAAGAGGAAGGGAAACTTCTAAAGAACATGCAAGAAGGCAAGGTTATTGAATCTCCAGTAAGTCTATGGGCCTCTCCCATCATCCGGTCAGAACAAAAGCTGGTTAACTGAATTTTGCGTTGACTATCGATTGAAAGTGGTTACGAAGAAAGATAGCTACCCTCTTCCTAGAACTGACAATATTTTGGACATTCTTTCTGGAAGCAAGTGGTTTTCGACACTTGATTTAAAGAGTGGATCCTGGCAGGTAGGGATACACTCTGACCGAATAGACGGCATTTACTACCTGGCAAGGACTTTGGCAGTTCAAAGTTATGCCGCTTGGACTATGTAATATGTCGACAACATTCGAATGCCTTATAGAGACTGTGTTGACAGGTATCTTCTGCAAAGCCTCTCTGATATACCTGGATGACTTCATCATTGCCGGGAAGAGTTTTAAAAAATATCTAGAAAATCATACAGGTTCTTCAGAAACTGAAAGGAGCCAATCTAAAGTTGAGGTCCACTATTCAGAGAGGGAATGACTTAATTCGGACATGTCATGTCTGCCCAAAGTATGGCTACAGATCCAAAAAAAAAGTTTCAGCAGCTAAAGATTAGAGACATCCCGAAAGTATCCATCAGTTAAGAAGTTTCCTAGGGCCTTGCACCTACTATAGGAGATTTCTGAAAGACTTTTCTTCCATCGCAAGACCCCTTCAAAAAATGACAAAGAATAAGCAAACGTTTTTGCGGACAAAAGAATATGAGGACGCATTTAACAGAAGAAAGAAAGAAGAAAGCTTTTGCATCTGCTCCCATCCTAGCATCAATTCAACAAACCCTTTATTCTCGATATGGTTGGTTGGTTGATTTTTTAAACGGCACAAAACCTCGAAGGTTATTATTATGCGCCAGACAAATGGTGAGTAAAATTCAAGATGCATAAACACATTGTATCAAGTGAATTGATGGAATGAAACTGAAATGCTGATGAAGGCAAGAAGAAATGGCTTTAAAATGTCCAGGCAGAAATGAAAAATGCTCTAGCAACAAGTAGAGCAGGATAAAATGTAGTTCAAATCATATGGTAAAAAAAGATGTCTTTTAAAAAAACTTATGAGGTTGGTGTGAGGGTTTCTTCCAATGAGATATGTTAACATTCGCATTTATAGAGCGAAGAGAGTTAAAATAAAATTCACGTTTCTGACTAAAAGCAGGACAGCAGGTTAAAATGTGATTAACTGAAATGGGAACGTTGCAAGTGCCACAAATAAGCTCATTATCTCCTTTCAAGAGGTACTGATGTGTCAGTCTGCAATGACCAATTCGTAAGCGAGTCAGTAGTACATCCTCCTTCCGATCTCTCTTGACTAACAGTACTCCAAATTGGGTTTTACCTGCCTTAATTTGTTCAGAGTTTAGCATTCCCAGAATCCTTGCCACCTGAACAAGACCTTTGTTCTAATGTAATTCCGTATGTCTGTAAAAGGGACATTATTTTATGAGGTAATATCAGCAGATTTTGCTGCAATATCGGCGAGTTCATTGCCTTTGATACCAGCATGTCCAGGCACTATCAGTTCGCAATATAATAACCTGCGTTTCTCAAACGGAGGTGTGCCTTTAAAATTTCTAAGACCAAAGGGTGGCTGGTATTTGTATTTATTGATTCAAGAGCACTTAGAGAATCAGAGTAGATGATGAACTTTCTGCTATTCTGCCTAGAGATAAAGATTACGGAATTCAAAATGGCAAAAGTTTCCACACTAAAGACAGATGCAGCCTTATGAAGTTTACTACTCTTTATTTCTTTATCACAAACAAAAGCTGCCCCGACGTGATCATGATTCTTTGAGCCATCAGTAAAAATTGCTTTGTAGTTAGAATAACTGCTTCTATGCCCTAGGAAAATTTGTTGGTATTGGATATCATTGGTACTGCTCTTCTTTAGTTCTCCAAAAATCTTAAGTAGGTGAATGTTCACTGCTTGCCAGGGAGCAATACCGAAAAGGTCAAAGCTTTTGGGATGCAGATCATTTAGGTTGAATTCTTCAATCACTGAGTGAATGCGAAGATCAAAAGGTGGGATACATGAAGGACGGACATGGTAAAGACGCCAGTACTGATCAGATGTCATGAGTCGGACAGGATGTTCGGCCTGTGACATTACTTTATAATGAAGATCAATGGACAACTGCTGGCGTCTGAATTCCAAAGATGGTTCAAAACAGATGACATAGGCTCCACAGCAAATCTGTAGCGCTTGATGGTGGACTGGGTCCAATTTCAGGAGTACAGAAGGTCTTGCTGATCTGTAGATAACACAGTCACAGTCAAGCTTGGAAAGGATTAAAGATCTATAAATGCGGAGCATAGAACAACGTTCTGCTCCCCATGAGGTACTGGTCAGGACTTTCAGTATGTTGAGAGCTTTAGCACATTTTTTATTTAGATTTAGGATATGCGGAAGGAAAGTCAGCTTTCTGTCAAAGATAACTCCTAACAATTTTGCTTCTGGCTCAACGCGGATCAAAGAGCCGTCAAGATGCAGCTCTGGATCAAGATGTAGATTTCTTCTGCGACAGAAGTGCATGCAGACTGTCTTCTGGCTAGAAAATTTAAAACCATTGTTGTTGGACCACTTTATGATTCTATTTAGAGCAATTTGTAGTTGTCTCTCAATGTATCTCATATCTTGACCTTGACAATAGATCATCGGATCATCAACATACAGGAAACCATGCACTGTGGGAGGAAGTTCTCTTAAAATGGAATTAATTTTCAGGCTGAAAAGAGTGACACTGAGCACTGAACCTTGTGGTACACCTTCTTGTTGTACAAAGACTTGAGAAAGCAACGAACCAATCTTGACTTGGAAAGTGCGGTCCTTCAGAAAGTTTTGAATAAAGATGGGTAGATTACCTCGCAATCCAGTGCTATAAAGGTCATGAAGAGTTCCATGCTGCCAAGTTCTTTTTCATGTCAAAGATTGAAACCACATGATTTCTTTTCACAAATGCATTACGTACTGCGGTTTCTAAAAACAGGGCATTATCAAGTGAAGATCCTTCCTTACGGAAACCACTTTGGTAAGGCGATAGACAATGATTAGTCTCCAGATAGTAGGTGAGACGGTGTTTTACCATTTTTTCCATAATCTTGCAAAGGCAGCTAGTGAGCGCGATGGGGCGATAATTTAAAGGATTTTTCGGCTCCTTGCCGGGTTTTACTAAAGGAATAAAATAGGCCCTGCACCAGGCAGTAGGAAAAATTTGTTCCTTCCATATCTTATTATGAAGAGCAAGAAGGACCACTAGAGATTCATAGGGCAGGGCAAGTCCTATCAGTGCGAGATATGACATTTCTTAATTCAAACATGGTGAGATCTTTATTATAAGATTCTGCATTAGAATGGAATTCTGCATTAGAAGTCGATTTGAATCCTTTCCAAGTGCATCTTTGTGGGCAGAAACTCTTTTGAGTAATTGCTACTGCCAGATACAGCAGCAAATGTATCACCTAAAGCATCTAGTACTTATCACCTTTCTATCTTTTTCTAGAACAGAGAAGAGATAATCATTATATAGTCCAGAGGCGGACTCTTTCCTAAACCTGCTTGCTAGACATTGAGGAGGTAATAGTGGACGCGTAGGCTGCCCATGATTTTCTCTGACTTTGCTGTCTCATTTTTCTTGCATTCGCCTTAGCTTTTTTAAAAGCAAGAAGATCTGCCAGTGTTGGATATCGGTGAAAGATATGCCAAGCTATCTTTTGCTCTCTCGAAGTTTCATCACAATCATTGTTCCACCAGGGTTTAGAGAACTTTGTCGAGGACTTCGGAATACAGAGATCAGCTGCTTGTGCAATGGCATGAGAGATCATTTTTACTGCTACATTAATCTCCACATCCTTTACCATTTCTTCAGTCAGCACAGCACAAGATGCAAAAAGATCCCAATCAGCTTTATCTTAACGTAAGCGTGGTTGTCTTGAGATCTTTGATTTCCCTGTAATATTTACAATGACTGGGAAGTGGTCACTATAGTAGAGATTCTCCCCTACACTGAAAGAGCACAAAGGTAGTAGAGATGGAGAACAAAAAACCAGATCAATTGCATGAAATGTTCTAGTCGACTGATGAAAGCAAGTGTATTCTCCATTATTAAGGATACAAATAGAGTGATCTTCCATTAATTGTTCAATCTGCCGGCCCCTTGGATTAGTGTCCCTACTTCCCCATAATGTACTAAGGGCATTGAAGTCACCTAAAAGCAATAAAGGTTTTGGGAGCTGCTTTATTATTCTGTCCAACTCTCACTGATTTACATGCTCATGTGGGGGTAAATAAATAGTGCATAATGAGATTGAGAATTGTAAATTAATCTGAACCGCCACAGCTTGAAGGGAGGTCGTCAAAGGGAGAGCAATGTAGGTAATTGTGGGAGGAGATAAGGCCCACACCACCACAGGCACGATCCCCAGATGGTTTGTCCTTTCTTACTGTTGTATATCTCCGTATCTTAGCATGTCTGCTTGGTTTTAACAAGGTCTCCTGAAGCGCAAGGCATGCAGGTTGATGCATGTTTATTAAATCCTTGATCTTATCCAGGTTTTGAAGAAAACCCCGGCAATTCCACGAAATAAATGTACCCATTATGGATGCTTGTTTTGGCGGTGTTGGTGTTTTGACTTTCGAGGCAAAAGGTGTTTCGGAAGGGATAACCCTTCTTACACGTCCCTTTCGTCTGAGTCGTCTAAGCGTCCTGAACTCATGCTTGCGATGGAACTTTGAATGGGGGTCCTGGGTTTTTGCTTATTTTTCTCTTTCATACCATCTCTATGTTTTTTCTGTTGGACATCCTGTTTTCCTTTGGGCGCAGTCACCGGCGTACTACTTTCAACATCAGGTTTTTTCCCTGATTTTTGGTTTCTAGGACCTTCTGTCATTGCTAGTTCTTTTTTCTGTGTGGTTATTGTGGCTTGCGTTGATATTGATCTGAATGATTTTGTTGCAGATGCATAAGATTTATTAGGTCTTGGCTGGTTAGAGAGAACAAGTGTTTTGGCTTCTGTGAATGATATCCTTTGTGTAACTTTGATGCTTTGAATTTGTCTTTCTGTCTGCCATTTCGGACATGATCTTGAAAAAGCTGGATGCTCACCTTTACAGCTTATACACAAGGGGGCAGCAGAGCAGCCTTCACTAGCGTGGCCTACGGAAACATGGAACATCAAGCGCACGTGAGGCTACCGCGACAAGAGGTCTTTCCATGTCCAAAGCGCTGACATTGAAAGCAACGCATTGGATTCAGTTTATATAGCCTGACTGAACAGTTTAGGTATCCAGCTTTGATGTTATTAGGCAGGTTAGGAGACTTGAAAGTAAGTATGACATGTTTAGTGGGAATAAGTTGACCTTCTTTCCGTATTTTGATCCTACGAGCACCACACACGTTTTGATATGCCAACTCTTTAAAAAATTCCTCTTCAAACAATAAACCTATTTCAGAGATTACTCCTCGGGACGAATTTAGAATGTTATTTGGCTTAACTGCAATGTTTGCTTGTTTTAATTTAGCTAGTTTCAAAAGACTAACTAAATTAGACTGTTTCCGGACACAGTTTCTATCAAAAGGTCTCTAGACCGAAGTCTCTTAATATTGTTCAGTTCTCCTATGGAAGACAAAAGATGTTTGTTTATTAAAAAGGGTGACAGTTTTTCTCAATTCTTCAGAGCTGGTTATAATTAAGAAACGTGGACAAAATACATCTGATACAGTGTTTCTATGTCGCTTCTTAGTCTTTTGGTCACAATCGGAGTATCGGATACATTGTTGGAGCAGGAAGGTATCATAGTATTCATACTTAAATGGAGAAAGATTCAGGCCCGACTGCCTCAGCCAGCATGGAGACCAACAAGGGGACGCAGATTCCTACGCCAGGGCTAGCCGAACCTATACGCAAACTTAAGTCCCACAGTCGGCTTTCCCAAAAGCAGGTACTCCCGAGAGCTTGCTCCCAAGCCACTGACCACAAGGACTAGTGACCAGCCGATTGACACCCGTGAGGATGACAAGGTGCCTCCCGTTTAACTGAAGCAGAGGACAAAGCAGTGTGTTGGGGACAGTACCTCGCCCCTCAACTACCTGGACCCTCCTTTCCAGTGACACGGGTCTCCACGCACGGCAAACACGTGGGCAGTTTTCTTGCCATTCGAAGAACTAGGGACAAGGCTGTTTCAGTTTCTTATTACGAGCTCGAACCTCGGATGAGGAAACCACATGGGAGAAGGAAAACGGGAAAAGTTGCAGTTAAGAGGAGAGCAGGCAGAAAGAAGGAGGTGCTCCAGGATTGACACCCGATCACCGAGACGGTAATCCCCTGAAGGATCTTTACCTGCTATGCTTTAGTTGGGCATGTTGGAACGGCCTTCACGCCTAGGGTGGCCCTACCAGGAGCTATGCTCCCGACGTACTTCACCCGTTCCGCCCAGTGACACCCCCCGCCACGTTGAGGCAGCAAAGCAGGACTTGGGTGGATTCTCGATATGGATGTAGGCAATAATAGTGTCAATGCTGTTTTGTCCCAAATGGTCAAGAACGTGCCGTGGTATATTGGAGAAAGTGTCTGCCTATACCGAAAAGGAATTACTGTGTCACCAGAAACAAGCTGCTTACCATATTTAAAGCCATAGAACATTTTCATCATTATCTCTATGACAGAAAATTTCTACTCCACATAGATAATGCGTCATTAACCTAGCCCTTAAATTTGAAAACTCATGAAGGCCAAATATCCAAAAGGGTCCAGAGACTCCAGGAATATGGCATCACTTTCCGTCGTACAAGGGATCATCACATGAAAATGCTGACATCCTGTCCAGAAGACCCTGCTCAGAAAGCTACCGATATTGTTATAGGATTGAACTGAAATATGCACTGCTTAGTTCAATCGTACATTCAGTTATAAATCCAATATTATCTGACTTAGACCCATGCAGTGACGAAGAACTCAGGAAAAACCAGTTGGAAGACACCGACATTAAGCCCATTATTGAATTTATGGAGTCTTCAAACCGGAAACCTGCCTGGCACAGCATTTCCATCCATAATCCTAATTTCGCTCTCTGAAACTCACTCCATATCGAAACGGCATCTTGTACCGGAAGTTCGAATCGGGATGATGGAAAGGCATTCCGTAGCTGATACTTCTAAGATCCCGGATACTGGGCGTTTTAAAGAACTACACAGCAGTCTTACAGGAGGGCATTTCAGAATAATGAAAACTTTGAAAAGAGTTCGATAGTGCTTCTATACGAGTCATGCAAGGGCTGACATGCAAAAGTGGTACCAATCATGCGATGCTTGTGCAGATCAGAAAGGAGACCGAAGAAATGCAGCCAAGGGAAGCTACAACGTTACAATGTAAAAGCGCCTTTTGATCGTACTGCCTTTGACATCCTTATCACAGTAGCACAGGTGACGGTACAGTATTGGATCTCTATGTTCGGAGTGCCTCTTCAGTTACATTCCGATCAAAGAAGAAATTTTATCTAGGGTGGAATTACAGAACTCTAAAAGATACTCGGTATCGACGAAACGCAAACAACACCTTGTAGGGTTTATATTTATTTTAACTAACATTTATTTTAAGTTTAAACTATCTTTCCTGTCAAGCCTTACTTTCCCCTGGAATTGCCAATGCCAGAGTATGTAAATTTTAGTAGAAAGCGCAAAGTATTCAAATTGTCAGCGGAAGTAATCTGAGTTAAATAGAAGGGAAAGGAGTTCGATAGTGTGCTTTCTTGCTTCACGAGCGTGGAGGTGGCTAGGTAGAATTCGAAGAACCACGCGTTTCGGCTTGTGTGCTTGCCTCGGCAGATAGTTGAATCTTTCAACTTAATATTCAGAAGTTTGCTGAAATATTAGCAGTATCTTAGAACGCGGTTAGGTTAGTGACCTTTAGAGAGCCTCGTAGGTAGTAACTTCTTATTATTCATTTTTAGTTTTTTATTTTTATTTTACCGCCGGGTCGGCGTAGTTTGTGAGCGTCAAGAGCACGCATCTGTAATTTCTAAAGTTGAATAAAAAGCGATTTAAACCCTTCTCAAGACTTTGTGTACTTTCCAGTTCATAGCAGTCACCACTATTGTTGCGTGCAGATTGGGGCCGCGCAACATTACAACCTTTACATCCCCAGTCAGACGGCATGATAGAAAGGTTTACGTGAACCAGCCTTAATAAACTCTAGCTGGTGTTTTCCAGAAACCAAAAGGAGTGGGACAGGAATTTACCACTGTTCTTTACTGGCCAATCGCGGTAATGTCCAGGAGACTGCTGGCTATACCTCATTGCAGATGCTCTTCGGTTGTGACCTTAGTCTGCCGTGTGATCTCTTGTTTGGTCACGTTCCTAATGAGCCTTCATTGCTTGAGGAGTAGATAAAATTGATAAACTTTATTTTACCAAAAGGAACACTTCACAGTTCTGGAACTTTCCACAGAAATACTCATACAGCTCACAGAGTATAATCAGTAGTTATACTTCAAACTACTAAGAACGTTAAACGAAACCCAATGCATTGCGTATCTAAAGCGCAAATATAACACGGATATATCCCAATACTCCGAACTGACGCTAAACTAAACAACTGATACTCAGAAAATGATGCTCTTCACGGTCTTGTATAGTTTTCTCTGCTGGCCGCCGAAAGATTTCGATTCTTAGATGGCCAAAGGCATGGGTTCTTGGACCGAAGCCCTATCCCAGACTAGCAAGATATAGTACAGCGTAGCTAACAAATGCATTTCAAATGAAGAAAGCATTTTATCATGCAGATAAAAAGTTCACAGAGTGATAGCAAAACGTGATCTCTTGTTTGGTCGTTTTGTAAGGCTAATCATGAAGAGAAGATAACAGTATCCGTAGACGAAGTCGAAGCATATATGATGGTAGAGAAATACAGTGGGCTCACTGAGTACCTGGTACTGAGAGGTTTCTAGTACCTTCTCAAAATTATTAGAAGCGTCATGAAGAACAGATACGGTTCCAGCTATACATAGCACCAATTATAGTTATTCAATTACAACACCATTACAGTTATACAGAGACTGATCACATTGTTGCCAAATGATCACAAAGTTGGGCGACTTTTGGCTATTTTCCGCCAAATTTTGCGACAAAAATCAGTCGCGAAAACCATCGCTGGCTTGGCCATTTCTCGCCAATTTAGGGAGATAACCATTTACTAGGTGTTAAATAGACTTGCCCTGTATTCTTACTTTTGCGGCAAAGCTTCGCTTCTTTAGGTTTTAATGGTTTAAAAGAAAACAATTTCACTAAAACTATATAATTTCACTAAAACTATTTACGTATTTATAAAATTCGTAACAATATGAAAGTTATATAGTATATATAATAGAATATAAGTCATGTATACTGTATGCTGATGTATACTGACATCGATTTCATAAATAACACAGCATGAATTTTTCACAAATTATTTCTCTTTTCTAATTTCAACATCATGCACTGTGATACTTTTTCATATTCTTTTATTTCATATTCTTATTCGTAAGGTACTTTCTGATTATTCACAACCCCAATTTAAACATTAAATTATTTCTTATGATATGAAATACATATACCTAACTGTCATTTAAACTTATCGTTGAAGGAGTTAAAGAATCAATGTAATATTTATAAATTTGCAGGATTACTTCCGAAGGTTTAAATATAGAACATTCGTCTTTTCGTGATAAAGAAAAGGCGGAAATCTAGCTACTGGCATCATGTTTATTCAGAGTGTTATTTTAACTCAAATGGCATTTAAACATTCAATAATAAGAACAGCTAAAAATTATATTTATTTATTTAAAACCGAGTAATCAAATAATATGCTTATAAACGGTAATCAAGGATGGTCAAGTAACTGATATTTTAAATTATATTTCTAAATGATCTGTTAAGTAGTCACACTTTGAAAGCCTGCATGAAGGCCATAGCTGAAACGTATCCACTGGTTGTAAAAATGTAAAATCGGCCATAAAAGTACTTTTTTTCGGGGGGAAGGTCATAAAATTTTTTGTTTCTTATAAAATATTCTTTGTATTACAGCACACCCTTTCCGAACGCGAGGGTTAAGTCATCAACACATTGCGCGTACAGCAAAATCACGTTACGTAAAAATAACTTACTATTGTGAAAATGTGTTAGGTATAATTCATTTTAATTTTCCCCTTGAATTACAATAATATTTAGGTTTTGACAAAATTATATGTCATTTATGCTAATCAAAATGTTAATGCAATTAAAAGAGAAAAATGAAAGAACTGAGAGGATTTCAATCGGTGCTTAATAAGTCGGTACATGATACAACTTTCTTTTAAATGGCTGCCGATATTTTGCTTGGGACAATGTCTGACGCAACTCATTAGGTACAAAGTTTTTCAATACCTTTCATGAAATAGCCTCTTCTTTCACCATCGTAAAATAGAGTTCTCCATTACAAAATCAAAGAGTTCCAATACTTTTTCTAAGAATTCGTTTCACTTCTTGAATGTCTTGTATATCACTACATCTTTTTCATTATAGCTGCGCCCACCAGCGGCCGAGCGGTAAAGACGCTGAACACTGGTAGTTCGGTCTGAGGTTCGAATCCCGCGAACGGGTTGGCTGCATGGGCGTTTTCGTGGTTTTCCCCATGTGTAATGTGTATACGAGCCAGTTTCCCTTAGAAAGTCCTCCACGAAAGGCATCCCTCCCTTTAGGCAGATAGCCCTCGTGTGCTTTGCCATAATTAAATACACCACACCACCACACCATTATAGCTGCCTTCACCGTTGGATGATGTTAAGTTCATTCAATTCTTTATTTGTCATTTTCGACTAATTCTTTGATTTCTCCTCTTTCTAATTCTGACAAACCTTCGCCGACTATTTTACTTTCAATCGGTGGATAGTCTTTAAATTTTTGACAACTTCTGGCCAGCACTGATATCAACGAACCTTCATTGTTGATGAAGTTTCCTGTTCTCACGTGAGTTTGATCATTTCTATGCAGTGTCTAATGTTGAACTGCTTCCACA